CCCCAAAACCCCAAAACCCCAAAACCCCAAAACCCCTCTAAAACCCCCAAATTGCACATAAATTCTCTAAAATAACCCTATTTTAACTCCTGAAGTCTTCCCTTTCATAGCTGATTTGGACCTCCTCATCTCTTCATTGTACCTGATCGGCTTCTTATTCAGCCGGGATTTCAGGAACAGGAGTTTCTTTTGGCTGTGCTTAGTATAAGGAGTGGTTCTTTCCATTCTGGGGTGTGAGGGTCCTTCGTCTTCTTCTCGAATAGCCTGGTCTGGGTCATTCATATTGAGGATGTCTGACTGGGAGATTTCTAAAGGGGTCAGAGGGAGGAAGAAGGGGCTGGAAATGGAGGTTTGGAGGGGAATAAGTAGTGGAATGTAGGAGAATAGATAAGGTTGTGGGCATGGGGTATTCTGATGGGGTTGGAATGTGTAGGAATAGAAGTTAGAGAGGACGTACTTCCTTCTAAAGGTCTTGACATTCATGTGCGGGATAGTTTTGGTATGTCTCCTGGGAAAGGTACGTGGGATGACGAGTTTTTGTTGAGAGAGGAGCTGGAGTGTTTTGGGAGGATTGACTTTGTAGGTTTGGAGGTTATGTTTGAAGCCTATTTTACTTATACTCCCACCACTTCCGGTCATTCTTGACCCTAACCCCCTTCTATTCCATACCTTAGAGATCCCTCGGCTTACCTTGTTCAGGGTGAGATGTCCCACCGTTCTTGTCTCATTATTGGCAAAACAGTTGAGCTTTGACTGAGAGGTCTGAGCAGTAGTAGTCCTAGCAAATGTTATAGGTGACATTGCATGGGATCTCTGAGATCGCTGGTTGAATTTAGGTAGGTTTTCTGCAGGAGTCTTAAAACTTGGAGTTGAGTAATCATGCTTCAGAATTTTCGTATCGAGGTTTATAGTAGAGACTGTGCTATTTGCAGGCGTTTACAGGCACCTGATCGGATTTTAAGGCAGAGATTACATCCAATAAATGGGATTTAGACTTTTCAAATTCGGAAAAGATGTCTCTGGATTCTTTCTGAACGTTCTTTAGTTCATTCATCATATTGTCTGATTCACGCTGGTTCTTCTCAAGGGCTTGTCTGACAGGATCTCCGAGGGAATCTATCTCTTTGTTGAAAAACTCAGTTTGAAGAATGTATTCATTCTTGAAGTCTTGAAGTTTGTGCTCGAAATCTTTCACAGCTTTTTCTAAGTTATATTCATTATCTTTGATGGCAATCTCATTTTCAGTTATTTTATCAAATTTAGCCTTTTGCATGTGCATCAAGGAAATTTGATGCTGATTTTCTTTGGTCATTGTTTCAAGCACCACAAGTCTCTTGATTACATCTTTACGGGCCTCAGAGGTTTTAGTCTGCAGAGCTGAATGCTTTGCAGCTAACTCTTGATACTGCTTATGACAGTCAGCAACTATTTTGGAAGATTCTTGGTGATCAGCCTCGATTCTTTCCTTGAATTCACCTATTTGTTCTATAAGGGAATTTGCTTCATCCATTGTGGACACACAGTTATGAACTTTAACGGTCAAATCATCATTTTCATTTCTTATTTTCTCAATTTCTTCTCTTTGCAGGAGAATTTCCTTTCTCATATTTTCGAATCTGTTATCATCACATAATATCTTCTTTATAGCTTCAATAAGAAGAATTTGTTGGTACTTCAAGTGCTTTTTATTAGGATCCTGCTGGATCTTCTCCAGGTATTCCTGAAATAAAGCCCTTAAGGAAGAATTCTCTTCTAAATTAAGAACAGAAGGAGTATCTTTACGGTGCAAAGGAGTCGCATCTGTATCTTGGTTGTAATCATTCTCTTCTCCTTCTATCGTACTGACCACTGACTTTATCTGCTTGAGCTCTTCTTGGATGCAATGAATATCTTCTTCGCTCACTTTAGTGTCCTTAAGGCTTTGTAGTTCAGCATCATTAGCTTTGGAGTTCACCAGAAGGTCGATTTCTTGGATTTTTGAAAGTAGCATTTTACTTAGGTTCCCAATTTTATCATTTTCAAGGTTCGCAATCTTTTTGTCCACATTTGCACGAAGGTTATTCATGATATCTGGTATATATTTTGTATAAGTGGTGTACTCCTCTTTATCAACTTTGTTATGGATCAAATCGTCCATTTTGTTCTGAAAAATCTCGAGTTTTTGAAAGATTAACCCTTCCAAATCAAGTTTTAGCCCATTGAACTTGGTTTCTATTGTATTCTCAGTTAAGTATTCTTGCATCTTCACTTTCTGCCTCAAAATCGTTTCTGATTGTTTTTGTTGCTCTTTGTACATCTTATGAATGATTGGAATTGCGTCTTCTAATTTATGAATATTCTCAATAATCCTGTTAAGCTTCAGTCTCTCTTCCACAAATTTTTTGGAGGGGTCTCCTTTATAGCTATCTTCTTCCATGAGTTTTATTTTGCTGTTTCTATTTATAACAATTTTTAGGGGTTTTGGGGTTTTGGGGTTTTGGGGTTTTGGGG